TTTACCAAGAAATCTACTGGAGCAGTAATATCCAGTTTTACAATCCAATAAGTTAACTGATGAGACAATCATAGATAGTAGGAACTGCAGATGCTGGAGAATCCGAGACAACAAGGTGCAGGGCTGGATGAACACAGCAGGCCAAGCAGCATCATAGGAGCAGAGAGGCTGACGTTTCGGGCCTAGACCCTTCATCAGAAAAGGGGGAGGGGAAGGGGGTTTTGAAATAAATAGGGAGAGAGTGGGAGGCGGATAGAAGAGGGATAGAGGAGAGGATAGGTGGAGAGGAAACAAACAGGTCGAAGAGGCGGGGATGGGGCCAGGAAAGGTGAGTGTAGGTAGGGAGTTAGGAAGGGGATAGGTCAGTCCAGGGAGGACGGACAGGTCAAGGGGGCGGGATGAGGTTGGTCGGTAGGAGATGGAGGTGCGGCTTGAGGTGGGAGGAGGGGATAGGTGGGAGGAAGAACAGGTTAGGGAGGCAGGGACGAGCTGGACTGGTTTTGGGATGCGGTAGGGGGAGGGGAGATTTTGAAACTTGTGAAATCCACATTGATACCATTGGGCTGCAGGGTTCCCAAGCGGAATATGAGTTGCTGTTCCTGCAACCTTCGGGTGGCATCGTTGTGGCACTGCAGGAGGCCCAGGATGGACATGTCGTCTGAGGAATGGGAGGGGGAGTTGAAATGGTTCGCGACTGGGAGGTGCAGTTGTTTGTTGCGAACCGAGCGTAGGTGTTCTGCAAAGCGGTCCCCGAGTCTCCGCTTGGTTTCCCCGATGTAGAGGAAGCCACACCGGGTACAGCGGATGCAGTATACCACATTGGCAGATGTGCAGGTGAACATCTGCTTGATGTGGAAAGTCTTCTTGGGGCCTGGGATGGGGGTGAGGGAGGAGGTATGGGGGCAGGTGTAGCACTTCCTGCGGTTGCAGGGAAAAGTGCCGGGTGTGGTGGAGCTGGAGGGGAGTGTGGAGCGGACAAGGGAGTCACGGAGAGAGTTGTCCCTCCGGAAAGCAGATAAGGGTGGGGAGGGAAAGATGTCTTTGGTGGTGGGGTCGGATTGCAGATGGCGGAAGTGTCGGAGGATGATGCGTTGGATCCGGAGGTTGGTGGGGTGGTACGTGAGGACGAGGGGGATTCTTTTTTGGTTCTTATTGCGTGGACGGGGTGTGAGGGATGAGGTGCGGGAGATGTGGGAGACACGGTTGAGGGCGTTCTCGACCACCGAGGAGGGGAAGTTACGGTCCTTGAAAAACGAGGACAACTGAGATGTACGGGAGTGGAATGCCTCATCCTGGGAGCAGATGCGGCGGAGGCGAAGGAATTGGGAATAGGGGATAGCATTTTTGCAGGAAGGTGGGTGGGAGGAGGAGTATTCTAGGTAGCTGTGGGAGTCGGTGGGCTTGAAATGAATATCGGTTTCTAGGTGGTTGCCCGATATGGAGACAGAGAGGTCCAGGAAGGGGAGAGAGGTGTTAGAGATGGTCCAGGTAAACTTAAGGTTGGGGTGGAAGGTGTTAGTGAAGTGTATGAACTGTTCGAGCTCCTCGTGGGAGCACGAGGCAGCGCCGATACAGTCATCAATGTAACGGAGGAAGAGGTGGGGTTTAGGGCCGGTGTAGGTACGGAAGAGGGATTGTTCCACGTAACAATCATGTTGTTAAGCATTTTAAATTCCATGTTGAAAAGGAATCTGCCTGAATCTAGGACTGACAGTATTTGAAATAAATTCTTTCAATTTCACTCTAATTGGCAATAATGCATGAAGATCTTTATTTACAGACATGACAGTAAAACACAATATCATGTCACCCACGGCTAATTCACAAGGTTAGTATTTACTGAAATATCTCTTATTACCATCCAAAAATGAAATGCTTTATTTATTCATGGAAAATGAGCAATGCTGAATAGGTCAGCACCTATTGCCCATCTGTAAATTATGTGGGAAATGTTATAAAAATTAAGGATTGGCAATTTCCCTGAGTAGTATGTTATTCACTAACACACATTTGCATGCCTGATGCAGGCTAATCTACCATTCCACACAGCACTTAACTTGAAAACAGAATCTGCCAAATGGAAGCATCAAGTTCCTTTTGCATGATTCTATATCTGTGACAGTTACAGAGAAATCCAGCATGTGTCCTTTCACTATGCTGCCAAAATTTACTGTGACAACTATGAAATTATATTTTCTTGAGAGTCATTCTCACTAACACAGTCAAGGATGGAGCACAGGAGAAATACATGTAAAGAAAAATTTCCTGGAGTTTGATCTTAAACTCAAGACAGCATCCCATGCAATGTGGTATTTTTAGTTTCTGTACAAAGTACTCTGGTTTTGCTCGTTCAGTGAAAAATAATATGTTAACTAATGCCCACAGCAAAAGTAAACACAACCTGCCCAATTCACTTGACATATATAAATACATCTTATAATCAGCAGAAACAGTCTGAAGATTTTAATCAAATCAGTCAGTCTGAAAAAGTTTTCAGCTAACCTTGCTGGAACGAATTGATGCATTATGTTACCCAATTCTGATAAAGTTCATGCTTGGTCATTTTCAGTTTTGTTTTTGAAATGAGGAAGCAACTTTTGGCAGGTCATATACTACTAAATCACGTGTAACCTCACTGAGACTGGTCATTCTCCTTTTACACTTAATAGTTCATAACGTAAAATCTGGAATTGCAGAACTTCTGATTGAAGGAGTGTCGGGCTGGCATTGGAGAGTACGGCGTGGAACAGGGATGGGAAGTGAAGATATAGGGGCAAAAATTTGTAAACATATTAAGTAAACCAGGCCTGATATCACAGAAGACAATTCAAAATTGATCCAGAGATAATGGGGATGTTGAGGCTTTAATAAGAATGAGGGAATTTAACAAAGCCAGTATAAATGGACATAGTTACTCAGCCCCGATCTCATTATAACCTTGGTTCAAACATGAACAACAGAGTCGATTCCAGAGGTGAGATGACAGGAGTGTGACTGCCATTGACATCAAAGCCACACTTGACTGAGTGTGGCAGGAAGGAACAGTAGCAAAACTGGAGTTAATGGGAATCATGGTGAAACTCTCTGGTGGTTGAAGTCATACCTGGCATGACAGAAGATGCTTGTACTTGCTGGTCTTTCGTTTCAACTCCAGAATATTTCTGCAGGAGTTCCTCAGGGTAGTGTCCTAGGCCCAACCATCACCAGTTGCTTCGTTAATGACCTTCTCTCCATCATTGGGTCAGTAATGAGGATGTTCATTGATGGCTGCACCAGTCGGTACCAGGGACTCCTCAGATGCTGAAGCAGTCCATATCCAAGTGCAGTGAGACCTAGACAATATCTGGTTTGGTTTGACAAGCGGCAGGTAATATTCATGCTGCACAAGTTCCAACAATGACCAATTTTCCACATTGTCGGGTAGATACCAGCGTTGTCACTGTACTGGAACAGCTTGGCTAGGGGAGCTGCAAGTTCTGGAGCACAAGTCTTCAGACTATTGCCGGAATGTTGTCAGGCCCTGTAGCCTTTGCAGTATCCAGTGTCTCCAACCGTTTCTTGATATCACGTGGAGTGAATGGAATTGGCTGAAGACTGGTATCTGTAATGCTGGGGACCACTGGAGGAGGCCGAGATGGATCATCCACTTGACACTTCTGGCTGAAGATTGCTGCAAATGCTTCAGCCTTATCTTTTGCACGGATGTGCTGGGCTCTTCCATCATTGAGGATGGGGATATTTGTGGAATCTCCTCCTTCAGTGAGTTGTTTAATTGTCCACATGATGGTGATTCACGACTGGATGTGGCAGGACTGCAGAGCTTAGATCTGATCCATTGGTTGTGGGATCGCGTAGCTCTGTCTATCACTAGCTGCTTTCGCTGTTTGGCATGCAAGTAGTCTGGTGGCTTCACCAGGTTGATACCCTGGCTTGATGGTAATGATTGAGTGGGGGATATATCAGGCCATGAGGTTACAGATTGTGCTGGAGTACAATTCTGCTACTGTTGATGGCCCACAGTGTCTCATGGATGCCCAGTGTTGAGTTGCTAGATCTGTGCTAAGTCTGTCCCATTTAGCACTGTGATCATGCCACACAACATGATGGAGGTTGTTCTCAATGTGAAGGTGGTACTTTGTCTCCACAAGGACTGTACAACGGTCACTCTTATCAATACTGTCATGGACAGATGCAATTGCAGCTGGCAGATTAGTAAGGATAAGGTCAAGTATATTTTTCCCTCTTGTTGGTTCCCTCACCACCTGCTGCAGACCCAATCTTGCAGATATGTCCTTTAGGACCGGACCAGCTCGATCAGTAGTACTGCTGCTGAGCCACTCTTGGTGGTGGACATTGAAATCCCCCACCCAGAGTACATTTTGTGCCTTTGCCATCCTCAGTGCTTCCTCTAAGCGTTGTTCAACATTGATGTTTTATGTTCTCTGTGGGGTACCGACCACAGGTGATCTGTTAACCCCATATTTCTTTTGTGTTAATTCTGGATAAGAATATAAGTTGTGTAGTTATAGTTCATTTTACTTTTCTAACCTGATATAGTACATGTATTGTTTGCTGAAACCATGAAATCTTTATTCTCTTTAGCAAGTCCCTAGGATTTCAAACTCTGTCTACTTTAAATAAAAAGGTTAATGGTCCCTAGCTAGATTGTAACAAACGTTTAGACAGTCATCTTCATATACTAATCAATCACAGATATTACACTGTTTTCTCAACATTTTCTCTCAACTGGCGATTATGACTATTCACTGTACAAAATCCAAATTGCAATAAGATACTTCATGTAAGTTTTCCTACTCAGACTGTAGCAACAAACAGCATTAACATAAACTACAGCAAGAGTCCCAGAGTAGTAGGACTGCACGAATGGAATACATTCATCCTCCCATAATAAAAAAACTGTCCACTACACTTGAAGTCTTTAAATCAAAGTGAGCAGTGATGGTAATATCAGATGTGTGCAGTTAGCTATCTGGACTTACCTAGAACTTGCCCATCCCATCAGGAGATTAAATGCAGCCCAGATTAAAACACCAAGGCCTAAGCCAATGGTTTTCAGAATTGGAACAACAGTAATATTTCCTGAAAACAAAATAGAGAAGAAACGAAAATAATTAGTTCTTGCCTCAGTGTGTCCTCAGCTTTCATCCCTCCAGACTCCATATTCAATAGAATATCTCTGCCATTTCTACTAACCATATGTGATTTCACCAAATACATCTTCACCTCTCTTTCTTTTTCAGCACTTTGTAGGTAATGCTCTGTCCTATTGTTCTTCTCAATCACCCCCAAAAACCCCTTCCCTTGGCACCTTAACAATGCACGCTCAAGTTGTTGGTTGGTTCACCGAACCATTTCGTCCCCCTTCTAGGTGACACCTTCAGTGCTGTCTGGCCTCTGTTGAAGTGCTGTTGTTCTGTTCTGTTCTGAAGTTATATTGTCCAGTCTGTCATCGTGGATAGTTTTGTTTCTGGTTTTGGTCCTTAGTGGTATGTAGATGGGGTCTATTTCAACATGTCTGTTTATGGCACCAGTGGTTGAAAACCAGGCTTCCAGGGATCCTCATGCTTGTCTTTGTTTTGCTTGTTCTCATACTGTTATGTTGTCCCAATTAAACTGATGTCCTTCTTCGTTGGAGTGAATACACTGGCCACCCTGTATTAGAAATATATTGGTACTGACTACGAGTCTCCTATGACCTCTTGGAATAATGATAACACTCAAATCCATAGCCACACTTCGTCAGCTACTCTCGACGACGAAATACTCCATACCCACAATGAGCAGAACAAATGTGATATACAAAGTACCATGTAGCAATTGTGAGAAGCACTGCATAGGACAAATGGGCAGGAAACTCGCCACAGGGATACGCGAACACCAACTTGCAGCAAAATGGCATGACCAACTCTCCCTCGTTTCTATTCACTCTGACAAAGGACATCAGTTTAACTGGGACAACGTAATAGTATGAGGACAAGCAAAACAAAGACAAGCACGAGAATTCTTGGAAGCCTGGTTTTTCAACCACTGGTGCCATAAACAAACATGTTAAAATAGACACAAAAACAAAGTTGCTAGAAAAGCTCAGCAGGTCTGGCAGCATCTGTGAAGGAGAAGACAGAGTTAACGATTTGGGGCCGGTGACCTTCAGAACAGTTCTGAGGAAGGGTCACCGGACACGAAACGTTAACTCTGTCTTCTCCTTCACAGATGCTGCCAGACCTGCTGAGCTTTTCCAGCAACTTTGTTTTTGTTCCTGATTTACAGTATCTGCAGTTCTTTTGGTTTTTGTGTTTAAATAGACCCCATCTACATACCACTACAGAGCAAAACCTGAAACAGAACTACCCACCATGACCAGACCACACAAATTCAGAACGGAACAGAACAGCAGCACTTCAACAGAGGCTAGACAACATGAAATGTTTGCACGCAAACCAACCAACAACTCCAGCCACAACCCGAGCTGCAGATCTTCGTTAAAACATTAAATGCACGCTCAGGATTATACCTGCCCTTTTACCACTTCTTTCTTCATTGTCCAACACACCTCCTAGATGACACAGAGATTTACTCTACTTTTTCAATCAGTATATTGTTATCACTGCTCACATTGCAGTTTATTCCAACTTGGGGAGATCAAGTGCAGACTGGTTTCCCACTTTGCAGAATACCTTCTTTCAGTCCACAAGCGTGACTCAGATCTTCAGGAAGCTTATCAATTCTCTACTTTATAATGATCTCTCTGAACACTGCAGGGAGTCAAGGACAATAAAGCTCAATTACTTTTGAAGGATATGCACAGCACCTCATCTTTTGAGTACATACTTATTGCTATATGGACATATTGTTGAGTTGAAGAATTTCAGAGTGCACACTCTTTCCTGACTCTTTCTCTCTTCTTTGTAACGATCTGTTTTAATCTCATTTTTGTTTTCTGACAATATTTATCATTCATACCTTCTCTATATGCACATTTTGTTTCTTTAAAATAGAAAATAGGAACAGGAGTAGACCATTCAGCCCTTTGAGCTTGCTCCACCATTCAACATAATCAAGGTGCATCATCCAATTCAGCACCCTGTTCCCACTTTCTCCCCCTATCCTTTGCGCCTTTTAGCCACAAGAGTCCTAATAAAGAGAACCAACAAAAGCAAAATAATAGATTCTGTAAACTTGACACAGAGAATGCTGAACCAACTCAGCAAGTCTGGCACTATCTTTGGAGAAAGAAATAGTGATAATGTTTCATGTCCAGTTCTAAAGAAGTCATACTGGGCTCAAAATGTTAACACTGTTTCTCTCTCCATAGATGCAGCCAGACCTGCTGAGTTTTCCCAGCATTCTCTGTTTGTTTCTTTTCCTTTACTTGTTTCATCTGGCCCCTTGGCCCTGCACGACAACACTGTTATCAATTAATCTCTCTGAACTTCCATCTGCACATCCGCCTTCCCTTTTGCTTTTTATTCCCCCATTCTCTCCCCCATTTCACTTTCTTAAAAACATTTGTTTTTAACTGCAATGAAGACAGAAAATACTCAGCAGGTAAGGTAGCATCTGTGAGAAAGAAGCAGTCATTGTTTCTGGTCAGACCCTTCATCCGAACAGATTATGCTTTTAATTTATCTCAATTCAGATTAAAGGTCATCAGTGAACAGTTAGCTCTATTTGTCTCTCCTCAGATGCTGCTTCACTTGCTATTTTTAATATATTTTGTTTTTAATCAATTCTTGAATTTAGCATCAACTTGTGTGAAAGTACCACTATTGGAACATAAATCAATCATTTTATGAATAGCTAATCATAGAATCCCTACAGTGTGGAAACAGGCCCTTCGGCCCAACAAGTCCACACTGACCCACAGAGCATCCCACCCAGACCTATCCCCCTAATCTACACATCCCTGAACACTATGGGCAATTTAGCATGGCCAATCCATCTAGCTTGCACATCTTTGGATTGTGGGAGGAAACCGGAGCACCCGGAGGAAACCCACGCAGACACGGGGAGAATGCGCAAACTCCACACAGACAGTCACCCGAGAATGGAATCGAACCCGGGTCCCTAGCACTGAGGCAGCAGTGCCAACTACTGAGCCACCGTGCCACCCTTATGTGTGGAATGATTGTGAAACTGTACTATGCACAGTATTTATGTGGATTTACCTATTTGTAGCGCCCGGATTAATGCCTGTATATGAGCAATTTTCAGCAACAAAGCTCCAAGTTCAAGTTCTACTCCAGGATGTCCGCATATAACTCAAGACCGACACTCCAGTGCCATACTAGGGGACTGTTGTGGTGTCAGAGGTGTTGTCTGTCAGATGGAGTGCTAAAACCCGAACTGTGAATGTGAATATGCAGGTCAACATTTACGTTTCACATATCACAAAGTTTGCTGTCTGTAAACAGGCTGCCATGCTTCCCACATTGTAATAGTGGCTACATTTGCAAGGTACTTTCTTTCCTTAACAATTTTTACCATGTCAAATACTGGGCTACCACTAATGTGCTAACATTTCTTTTTTCTTTGTTCCTGTTATTAGCAATGGTTGTCACAGTTTGTTATGCTTACAGTTAGGCTATCCCAATGCTACAAGGCTTTGCACGCCTGAGAACAATACAACTATATTAGTTGTATATTAGCTGACTGACTTCCCGCTGTTGGAAATTAAGAAAATATTGTTCAGCACAATTGCAGCTCGTGAAAGCGGCTGCATCTGTACGTTATTTCAATGTGCTTATTAGTTGCATAGTTAAGGACGACCAATGTGCCAATCAGTCTTTGGCGAATTAGCTGCTAAAATAATTAGAATTATAAACTTGACATAAATTGCTAAAATGTTATTTGTATGTCAGCTTTTCTAATTCAATGGAATAGGCTTACTTTTCTAAAAGTTGTGTTCTTCAAATATAAAAGTGATTTCCATGAAATTATAGTTTAACCACAAGTTAACAATGGGCATCTTGATTAGCTGCACAAATGAAAATGAGTTTATCTATTGATCGGCTAAGTGTATTTTTTGATATACAAAGGAGTCAAATGTTATGGTGTGCAAACAGGGAAATGGAGTTATGATCACAAATTAGCCATGATTTTATTGAATTGTGGAGCAGTTCAAGGGGGCCAAATAATCTATACCATTTCCTTCCATTTTCTATGTTCTTAATGCCATACAACTTCAAATTGACCATTGCATAGAATCAATTTCAAATGATGTGCCTTAATAAGTCCAAAACAATACTATGGCAATTTGTTCTCAACTTCACCAAAATAACTGTTTACAGCCAAAGGAAAATTGAATAATTCCTCTTGTAACTATTTATTTCGCTTTAATGGACCAAGCTCTTGTCAGCATATTCTATATTTGTGTATACATTTTTTTCTGTCTACCCCCTGGTCAGTGTATGATTTCCTCCTATCCCTAAATGGTATCATGTGGGTGAAGATAGCCAGCTTTCTGATCTAACTAGAAAAGCATTGTTAAGTAAACAGAAGGAAGTCTATTGCATTAATGCAACAATTTATAAATTACATGAATAGGATTTACATTATTCGTGACAGTTAAGAGCACATTAGCCTCAGCTCTGTCTTTTCCTCTGCTCAAAGTCCCCATGACATAACATTACAGAGGGTAGTGCCTACTGTGCAGAATTAATTATTAACCCTTTCAGATCCAAACATCCTCCACAAACGGACACCCAAGATCTTTGCTCCCTCATTTTATTTAATGATGGGCATATAATTGTTTATACATTTACTTCATTCTTTATCATCTCAGCTCCCCTGCCAAACCCGAACCCCTAAGAGATAGTAGGAACTGCCGATGCTGGAGAATCTGAGATAACAAGGTGTAGAGCTGGATGAACACTGCAGGCCAAGCAGCATCAGAGGAGCCGGAAAGCTGGCGTTTCAGGTCTGGACCCTTCTTCAGAAAACCTTTTCTGAAGAAAGCTCCAGACCCGAAATGTCAGCTTTCCTGCTTGGCCCGCTGTGTTCATCCAGCTCTACACCTTGTTATCTCCAAACCCCTAAGTCCAGTTTAGAATTCAGATGATCTGAACTTAATACAATTCTCAGAAGAATGGCAGTTCCTTAGATTGAAGACAGTTGTCTTAGACTGTCTTCCTGATGGCACACGTTCTGTTGCTTCTCTTGGAATGGAGGCCTTCAATCTACGGTGTTTCTTTTGCAGACAACCTTGATGACATACATCTATTGTTTATACCTGTTGGTGTCAATCGTACTATAATAGGTGATTCTGTTTCTTTGTAATATCTTGGATCTTAGCACATTATTTGTCTCTTCTTTGTGGTATTTTCTCTCATTTGTATGCAATAAATCCACAGCCTGTACAAAAGAAATTTGATTTCCATTCCACCCGTAGATCTATGCTAGATACGTGGACCTATTGCTTCAACCCCCTGAAAATGTTGGGCATTCTCCTTCCCTTCAGTAATTTAGTTATTGGTGAACCTTCCTCTATCATGTTATTTGGATGTGCATTCTTGCCAGATATGATATTTTTTATTGCAGTTGGGGCTTCCTTTTCAGAAAATGGGGAGGTTGGATATTTTGCTTAAACCCATACCTTCTGAATCACCTCAGTCCATGATGGCAGACTTGAATTTGAAATAGATAACACAGAACATAGAACATAGAACATTACAGCGCAGTACAGGCCCTTCGGCCCTCGATGTTGCGCCGACCTGTGAAACCAATCTGAAGCCCATCTAACCTAAACTATTCCATTATCATCCATATGTTTA